GGTATTCGGGTTGAAATGCGGTTCGAACGAAACGAGGATGTTGTGAATGGGCTGAAGGATAGAGGAGACGAACTATAACAAAACCGTGCCAGTGACAGGGAAGAGGAAAGGACCCGAATCAATTATATCTTTGTCAACCTTTTATCCCGGGAACGGCCTTTCTCCCGACGCCCGGCCCGGCCCGATTTCAATGCTGTGAGACGTCGCGTGAATATTAAACAAGCTTAACCTTTCAGAGCCCAGACCAACACCCTACTTAATCTTATTCAACAGGCATTCGATAACACTCCAATCGGATAATGCAAAGTGCTAGAAATCGGCAAACAGCCCCATGTCTCTTTTGTTGTTGACTTTCTTTTCAATTTCCAATGGAAAACCTATTTTTCCCCCGTCTCTTTCTCTACTCTACTTCATCTACTTCACAAACACTCTCTCCTCCTTCCACTCTCTTTTTTTATTTATCTATTCATTTATCAATCGTTTCATCAATAAATCTCTATATTCTATTTGTTAATTAATTTCTTACTAAAAACCTTTCAACTCCAATCATCGCCAACACCAGAAACTTTGACATAACGCTTAGAGACCTTATGATGCCATTATAAAAAATCACATGCCATAGGTCTAAGCATTTTATCTTATCTTTTTAAACCTGAATCCGGTTTGCATGAATCTGTATAATGGGCGAGTATGCACCCTCAATTGCTTGATCAGACCAGCGGGTTTTTGGGTTTCCTGTTTTGATATTAAGATGGAAAAAGATTTTTTTAAATTAGGATTAAACACAAATACTCCTGTACAGAATTGAGCAAATGACTTCTCGCGGTTCACCCGCAATTCAACCTTTTATCATTTAATTAATAATTAAACCTTTTATAATTAGTTAATTTAAATAAGTTGGAAAAAGGATCTTCGGTGAGGTCATAACAGAACGACAATTCTTTAATTTTTTGCCGAGCTTTCAACAATTATATCGTCATCCTCAGGAGCTATTTATTGTAGCAAAATATACAAAAATTAACTGCTATATTTTCCTACAATAAATAAGCCCTGATGATGACGTGGAAAGCTCGGCAAAAACTTTAAAAAATTGTAGTTCTGTTGTGGCCTCACCGAAGATTCTTTGTCTAAGTTGTTCAACAGTAGGTCGATCCATCATCTCTTCTTTAATTAATTTAAATAAATTACCCGTAAGCCTCGAGAATCACCTAGGTGGTTTGTTCGTAGACCATGGTCAGAATTTGGTCTTATCTCGGTCCTGCCGCCGAGGTTGGGCTCCAGGGATATCAATAACTAGGACGTTTCAGGCCCTAACGCAATCAGTAACTAAACCCATACCCATTCACCCTCACTCTTAAATAGAGCCTTTTTTTACATAGGAAATCACAAGAAGGGCGGTGAAGTAGTTATATTCCTCCGTCAAGGGCAATGGAGTAGTTATATTCCTCCATCAAGGGGGTGGAGTAATTATATTCCTCCGTCAAGGGCGGTGGAGTAGTTATATTCCTCCGTCAAGGGGGTGGAGTAGTTATATTCCTCCGTCAAGGGCGGTAGAGTAGTTATATTCCTCCGTCAAGGGCGTGGAGTAGTTATATTCCTCCGTCAAGGGCGGTGGAGTAGTTAGTTATATTCTTCCGTCACCTTTTACACCTGTTCTATAACCTAATTTAGGATCGACGGGGTACTTAATGTTCCACTATCGGTCCTCTCGCACTAATAAATTCACTCACTCGCAACACATATTACGTTTCACAACAATGACAGCAGGATATACTATAAAACAGGAAATAAAGTTCTTATCTTTTCGAGAGGAGAAATAAGTGAAGATACCTGCGTTCTGTTCCAGACCGGTCGACCCAAGAAGGAAAACTTTCCAAATCCTAGTTTTCCGATCCAGTCTCTTCCAAACAGCTATGAAGCGAAGTGTCGCCGAAAATTAAGAAGTAACACATCAAGAAGGCAAGATTGTGAAGAAAAGGGTGGTCGAAATACCGCAAAAAATAAGTTTTTAGAGAGCTGGTCAACAGTTGCGGAACGACGAGTAGGGCGGGACGCGTAAGGCTTAGTATAAATTCGTGTACAAGCAGGTGGCATTGCAACTCACTCTCTATATGTAGCCAAATCGGTGCACCTTCAATTAAGTGGACTACATCGAGCGGCCTTTCTCAACATTCCGGTCACACATGCGGGCTTTGCCCCAAAAGTAAGTGTCCGTGTGACCACTCCTGCCCTATCCTTAATTGGGTGAGTACGACCCTTCTTCTACGAATCAGATCCTACCAGGGCCACCTATCAACAGTCTTTCACCGACGTCCAGTCCAGAAGGCGACTCGTCCGCCTTTTTGTTATCCTCCAGACTTATGTGCCGACTTATCTATATAACAATCACCGTTTTAGACGCTGCAATTCATGGCATTTGTAAAACAAGAGCATAACAAGAGGATCGACGGATAACCAACGGTAATCGCGCTTACGGAGTCGGTGTAGACAAGGAAGCAAGGTGCAGATGCACCCTCGCCGGTCTTACCAGGCTGTGAAGAGTGTACTACAAAACTGACGTATCTCGATATTAATTAGTTTGTATATAAGGTGCTGGAGGAATATGTTCTTGTTGCTATATAACAGAGTATGAGAGAACATTGTAAATAGAAAATTATGTCTTTAAGGATCCGTCTTATAATTTGGATAACTTGCGGCAGTAATGGCTCGTTGTCAGTTTTCCAGTGACTCAGTTAGCAGGAAACAAAACCGAACACTAAACCCAGATTGCTTAAAACTCTCTCAACTCGCTATTAATTCCAAAAAATCTTAATATCAGAAAATAGCATGCATCAGTTGCAATAATAATTGTAAACGCAGAAGAATTTTGTAGGATATACGCGCTACTGCTCACCCTTTATTCAAAACCTTATTTGAATAGAATACCGATTATATACTTAATTGAAAATGCCAAAAACAGAAAAAAATTGTTATTTAATGTGAGAAGATAAGTGCAAAAGGAGTAGATGTAGAAAATTGTGCAGTGATGGGTAAAGAGAAATTGCATCGTAATATGGCAGCGTTTTGATTCAGACTTTCCAATCAGCTGGAAACACCAGCTTTCAAGATAAGCTTCGATCTGGTCGTTCTTCAGTGATCGATAACGCTGGATTACTCGACAATGAAAACTAGGATTTGTATGGTTTCATTTACCAATTATTGGCGGCTATCAGGGTTGCAAATAATACAATGAACAGCTATGTAACAACCACATGTCATGAGGCAAGCAAAATAACGCGTGTATACACAATTTTCTTTCAAAATGCAAAAGTGACAGTTGAAAGAAATATTCTTGTGTAAGACGAAATTAGGTCTTTCTTTTGTTTCAGGCGTCACCAAATCCCAACCCTCCAGAACGTAAACACAAAATAATTAGAAAATTTTGGATACAAATTTTTAAACAAGTGATTACTTAATAGAAATCACTTTTTGCGCCAGAGGAATAACAAAAACCAATAGAGTACGTAGGCCATTCCAAATGTTCTTAAAAAACAGCTCTAAAATGTTTTCTTTCGTAGAGTCTTTGCCGTTTTGGTACCGTTTGGAAATTACATTTCTGATTTTTGAACCATTTAAACATAGCATGTAAATAAGATAACATGCCAAATTTGAACTTAGTAACAGTAGACAATGGACAATTATCAAATCCTCTTCTCTAATTTAAATTGTAATGGACTAAAATTTACATTTCCGTCGATTATGGTAAATCACCAGTCCAAACAAACGAGCGAAGATTGTAGGTTTTTACCTAATAACCTTAGATACAGTTAAAAAGTCTATTCCATTCCTATTTCTATAGATTTTCTGTAACTGTGGCAGAAATCAGATTTTAGCTATACGATTAGTTAATTACAAATCTGGTCCTAATAACCGTGGAAATTGTTTAAAATTTTGAAATAGTCTACATTTTCTTTATTTTCAATTCTTATAGTATTTTGTTGTATAAAGGATTTGTAATTTGACCAAACGGTTTTTGATTAAGCTTAGCATGTTTAGCATTCTGTTTTCACAATCCAGATATGCAATATGCACAATGCAAAGAACCGAAACAAAATCCTACAGCTCTGGCTACCCACCATTTTGAACGCCAACACAATTTCGACTTCAACAATCCAAAAATATTGCACACAGAATAAAACAAACATGAATGTAACGTTTTAGGAATGGTTACATCACCAGGGATAAACACAATATCAATTACAGAACAGACACATGTAAACTCGGTCGCAGCTAGGCTAATATCATCAATCAAATTCAATATCGATAACATACATAGATCATCATCACATCACAAAAAATACTACATGTATTTGTTAAATTTAAGCAATGTTTGTAAATCTCAGGCCCTGAAGATGATTTCAATAAAGATCGAAACGTTGACACGATAAAGAAAATGTTTTTCTAAAAACCTACTTAACACCAGGCCGCATCTCACGATCTTCAAATAAACATTAACTAACTGTCACCAAACACCTCACACTGACAATATTATTAAAAAATTAAGGCAAATCCACGAAAAACATACGGACTTCTTCTTCATTATTATTGTGCATTATACAACAATATGAAAATATAGTTTGAAAAATGAAATAAACAAATTAATAAAAAAATGCAACAGGTCAGGAACAACTGCTTGCTTATAAAGGAATAGACTGGTGATGTTTTTTTTTGCTTTGTTTTGAGCTGGTGATGTTCAATCATAGGATTCAATTGCGTACAGATTATTGTTAGCCGTCTAAATTATTCATTAAAGTTTCTTTATTTTGATAATGGTGAAGTATTCTTGAAAAGGTCGTCGAAGGTACTTAGTGTTTTCCATTCGACTGACCATATACTTGATTGTTTGTCAACACATAATTATAGTTGACGGCTAGTTACTAATTTTTTCAAAGATACGTTGTAAAACCAATGGAAATTTAAAAAAAATATTATAACAGACAAATATATTATGCATGACTTACAGTTGACGTGCAGCATAAGCCTTTTACTAACAGTGGGAGGGACGCCGTTGCTTGCGATGCACATGTAAACTCCCATCTCTGATCGCGTCACTTTGCTCAGGATCAGGGTCTCTCCTTCGAAGGAAGTGACTGGAAAAAAAGGAAATAAAAAAATCAAAGAATAAACTCGTTGAAAACCATTTCACCGGGGGGCAAAGGCTGGCGGAATGAAATTAACCGGCTAATATGACTAGGAAGGGAAGGAGTTTGGGCGTAACAGCTGCTGTTAGAGCGATATACCTTGTAATGGGCTTGTTAACAGCACTAGCAACTCAACCTAACTCGATAACAGTGCCGCCCCTCTTTTAACAGCTTGTACACGTTGTGATTCAGGAGCGACACTTTCCTTCCCACCTCGGTTGTCCTCATTTACTTAATGACTCTCTTCAAATTTCAATCTCGGATCATTCGAAAGCCATCTGATGTTTATTGTAGGCAATTCTGAGCTGTATTGGCATCTAAGTAATAAAATCCTGGTGAAAATTTCAGCGCATCTTTTCAAACAAAATCTTCATTTCTTATTTGTAAAAATTATAATTTGTATTTTACATATATTATCTTTGGATAGCAAATATCACAAACTATAAACTGGCGTAGTTGTTTTCAAATGACATTTATTTTTAAACGTGCTGAAAATGACCGAGGACCATAACCTGTTGAAATATTTGTCTTTTTCCTAACATTTTTGCTTCCAGTCCATTTCACCACCGCCAAAAATAATTAGAACAACTAAAACTCAATCCCACATTTGAACTAAAAGCCTAGAAAAAGTGTCTTTTCAAACTGCTATTTTTAACAGACGTTGATTTAAAAAATTTTAAAGATAAAATAATAGTTCTTTGTGTTCTATACCCCAAAAATCATAAATTTACATTTTTCTCATAACTTACTATAATAAACAAGTACAGTCGAAGATTATTGAACATACATAATTGAAAATCGATTAGTTATTTATGAAATAGTACCGTAATACTCCCCATTTACTCCTCTCTCTCTCTCTCTCTCTCTCTCTCTCTCTCTCTCTCTCTGACTCTATCTATCTCTCCTCACTCCCACCTACTTAAATAGTTAAATCATTGGAAAAAGTATTTTTTCTGGTATGTTTAAAGCTTACTAAGTTCCTTTTTGCACATGATATACAGAGTTTTTCAAGTTTTTGGAATGTATGTTTATATTTTTTTTATTAAGAAATTGCTGTTCTGATCACCCAATAAAAATTCGAATCATTTTGTTCCCCAACAGTGACCAAGATCAGAAAATGTTATGGAATCTTTGATTTTTGAGAAATCATTCACGATCAAGTATAACCAGAGTTTTTGTGATGTTTTCTTGAAAAAATTCTAAAATAAACCGTGGACTAAAATACAGTTTAAATAAATTATCACTCGTGTTTTACAACAATTAAACAGTTTGTGAGAATTACGCTTAACGTACTGAGTATCAACTTTTATTTTATGCTGAATTTATTTTTTCGTTAATGGATAGTGCTCAGGGCGTCGGATTCTCGTAATTTCGCCGAGAAGCTGAATATTTTTCTATATATTCGCGAAAATCCGAATGTTGGAAGGGTTTTAGGTTTGTCAAAAAATAAAATTAGAGATTAGACTCCGGACTTACAATTTTAAGCAGTATCTTGTGTCACTCTGATTGTGACAGTCAACGTTCCTTGTACTAATGTCGATTTGGGAGGCTGAAGAAAACGTTCTTCCATCCATCCTATGGACTTATGAATCCAAGTTCACCTCTATTGGCATACTATACCGTCGGAATTTTCGAACGTGGGCAGAGGAAAATCCGAGAATTTCGCACATGTGTCATGATCAGTGGTCACAATTATCAGTTTGGAGTGAACTTCTGGGAAATAAATTACATAGGCCTTATTTGGACGAAAATAATTTAAATGGTTTTTACCAACACTATTAGATGATTTTCCTCTGCAACAACGACAAAGAATCTCGTTTCGGATTTTTTGTTCGGTTTTTCGCAAACTTATAAAATATTGAGCTTCTCGACGAAATTACGAGAGTCCGACGCCCTGAGCATTATTCATTAACGAATCTCCAGCTTGATGATCCCCCGCACACAATTCTGTGCGGATGAGATTTGGATGGTCACTTCCGGGATAAGTGGATAGTACCTCATGACCTGATCTGTTCGCCTCCTCGGTCACCCATTTAACTCCACTTGATTATTTTCTGTGACTATTTAAAAAACAGTGTAAATCAATCAAACAGTCAATCGTAACGCAACAATCTCAGTTGAAGAACTGCGGTAAAGTGAAGAAAAGCTTGTCAATCCATCTCCCCTGACTCTATCGCTCTGAGCATCGGTGAAGAGTGGTTAAAAGAGCAAATCTCTGCATATTTACCTATGGCAGGCAGTCCGAACATGAAATGTGGTTAACAAATAGCACATATACAGGGTGAATTGCTACTCGTGCTACAAACTTCTCCAGTAGATTCTTCACCCTAAAATGAACAAAAAAGTTCATATTGTCCATGGTCCGATTCTCAACCATTTCAGAGTAATTTCGCTTTTTATCGATTTTGAAAGATATCACGTCCTGGCGTCGGAAAATCGTGATATCTTTTAATCTAAACATTTCTCTGAAAATCTAATAGCACCGTTGAAATTCCCGTTAATTTTTCAATAAGAAGATGACGGTGGCAAAATGTTTGGGTCTTTCTTCCTTGACCTTCTAGCTGTTTGTAAACTTCTTAAGCTATATAGTATAATAATATATATATATATAGGGTGTCCCAGTTCCTTCTGACGAAACTCAGAGAATCGATTCTACTCTTCATTTGGAGCAAAAAATGCTCAGGAGAAAATTTTTGGAAAGTTCTTTATTTTGAAGATATTCGTCAATTTAGGTTTTTTAAACTTTTCACTACCTTACCGCATAAAAACGCTTACAACTTCTAAAATGTTGAGACTACAAGAAATCCCATTACACCATTTGAAAGAACGCTAAATTTTCTTTAAGATACTTTTTTGCAATAATCTGAATGACATAAAAAGTTAGCCAATATCAGTTGGAACATGTCAAAATTACAAAATTTAAAATTTTGGTCATGATTGCACGTTCTACTGAGGTTACAAAAAAAAAATACATACAACTTGTCAAATTTTACAAAAACTTCTTTATCTAATATGCTTTTTAAGTTGATATATCCAGGTTTTTAAATAACGTTCTTGTAGAGTTGAAAAATAACAATTAAATGTTCGAAAACGTGAGCTAAGGTAAATTTGAAGGGGGGGGGGTAGAAATTCAGAAAGTTAGTTATGCATTCGAGAAGAGGGAAAACACTTTGAGCATTTCCTATGAAAAGTTCCTCCTTTGTGGTTAGGTGCTTGCTACAAGAAGAACCATTGCATTGTATTGTATGAAGCTTTCTGGTACGGTTTTTGTGAGTATGAAGTTTTCTGGTACGGTTCTTGTGTGTATGAAGCTTTCTGGTACGGTTTTTGTGAGTATGAAGCTTTCTGGTATGGTTTTTGTTAGATTACAGTTGTGTCATTTTTATTTTGCAAAGCGAGTTCTAATTGATTTATTTCTACCCCCCTTCAAATTTACCTTAGCTCACTTTTCGAACATTCAATTTTTATTTTTCAACTCTACTAGAACGTTATTTAAAAACCTGGATATATCAACGTACAGCATATTAGATGAAGAAGTTTTTGTAAAATTTGACGAGTTGTAGGTATTTTTTTTGTAACCTCAATAGAACGTGCAATCATGATCAAAATTTTAAATTTTGTAATTTTGACACGTTCCAACTGATATTGGCTAACATCTTATGTCATTCAGATTATTGCAAAAAAGTCTCTTACAGAAAATTTAGCGTTCTTTCAAATGGTGTAATTGGATTTGTTGTAGTCTCAACATTTTGGAAGTTGTAAGTGTTTTTATGTCGTAAGGTAGTGAAAAGTTGAAAAAACCTAAATTGACGAATATCTTCAAAATAGAGAACTTTCCGAAAATTTTCTCCTGGGCATTTTTGCTCCAAACGAAGAGTAGAATCGATTCCCTGAGTTTCGTCAGAAGGAACTGGACACCCTGTATATATATATATACTGTATAATTTCAAGCACTGTGTAGTTAGTATAATAAAGGTTTTTCATTCCTTGTAAAATAAGTGGGAGCTATATTCTAAAGTTAAACATTATCCGGTCGTAAATTAGTTAGGAAAGCGGGCCGTTTTGATGGGTAAGTGGTAGATAATTATCGTCATCAGGTTACATCAGGGGTGTTTACGATGTGGACGAGGAAGAGGCAACCGCAGCAATTATGCAACGGGAGCAATATCCTAGGGGATTCACACGGTCAGCTACACCCCTCCCAAAGGGAATAAATAATTCCGCCGCCCTCTATGACTATCTGTCCGTTTACCGGCGTAAACGCAATTCGCTAAGAGTTACGTCTTGACGCTAACGGCGTCGAATTTAATTCGGAGGGAATTTTCTCCCTGCCGCCCTCCGCCGCCGCCGATGGGAAAAAGGAAACGTTTCCCTTTCTGGTTTCGGATGGAAACGACCTGGTGGTTCGAGGTAACTTAGTTTGTTAGCGCTTCCTGTGCGGCTTATTTCGCGGATGTTAGGCCGAAACGCGATTTCCTAACTGGGTCAGACACCAACAAAGCGATGAATCGATTTTCGCAACTATTGGCCGTATTATTAAGTTTAAGATAAGACAAGAAGATAAATTATATTCCTCCTAGGTTATTACTGTTTAAATCACTACCTGTTTTACCTCCAACTTCCTTTGTCTGACGCACTATCAACCAATTCAACATGCTATTACAGGAAATAGAATTATAGACTTGAAAATGTCAAAAAAATTGTAAATCTCAAAGTACACTTAGTTTTGTTAATATTAGAAGCATGTTTTTAGGTCCATTTATCAATTTCAATTACTACATTCTTTCTGTACACATTTTATCATGCTGTGGTTGTTTTTTAACATTGTCATATTATTATTAATTATACCTATTATTCGTAATTCATCCACTTTTTACATTGGTAAAAAAAATCTATTAGAAAATCTATAAAGCTGAGTAAGAATATTTACCTATTAATGTAAGCTAATAATTTTACTTGACTTTATTTAAAGAGAAGGAATAATATTATTTCTGCAATTAAAAATGAACAATATTTGTTAGAAGTGATTAATTTAAAGATGATTAATTAATCATTAATGGTGATTAATCATTAATTAAAAATCACTACATACCACAAATTTGTTAGAAGGAAGTACTCTTGTGTTCTATGGCTTGTCTTTTTGTAAAAATTGTTTCTGGTCGTGTTCTAAATTATTTTTTTATGCAGAATTTCATTAGAAAACATACCATATTTCCACTTTTTTTAAAGATAAAAATCGTGCTAAACAATCAAAATTTGTTTTAGTCAAATGAAAAATAGAAATAATATTTTACCACTAGATACTTTTTTAAAATTATTTTTAATCTGAAACAGTTGTGATTATGAAATTTGTATTATATCGCAATCCTGCTCGAAATTCCCCGCTTAACATTGAGTTAGTCAGTTTTCATTTAAAAGATTAATTCCAGCGTGAATCCTCGGTAAAACTTGAAAGTGAGAGAATGGGCAAACTAGAAATAGTTTAACAGTTAGTGGGAACGATGTAATTTGCAGTTGCGCTTACAGTCCCAGCGGAAATTGCACTGTTATTTCTAATTGTTTAATCTTGAATTCAAATGATTCGGCATTGCAGAAAGATTTTTTTTTAAAACAATGGAAAAGCTACTGTTTAATTGTCATATAATCGTTTTGTAAAATATAAACATGCACTACGAATTGTTGTTCATCGATGTATAAAGATTACGCATATTGCTAAAGACTATATTGTTTTGGACTTGGCATGTTGAGTGGCACGGAAAAACTTATTTATTTTAAAAACCAGTCATAAATCTCATTTTAATATTGCAATTAAAATTCTAAATTTCAGTTATATTAAAATATGCTCGAATGAATAAGGAAAATAAATAATAATACAATCTATAAATGTCAACTTACTAGAGTCCCCCCTGATTTTCCATAAAATTCCTAACTTGAAAATAATTTAAACTGAATTTTCTTAATAGCTCTATTTTCAAACATTGAAATAATTAGTTTTTTAATTAATAAAAAAGTGAATTTTTGTTTGTCTTATGGCCACCTACATTGTATTTCTTGAATTCATTAAATCAATTTGATTTTATGAAAAATGTTGAAAAACCTTTTGAAAATCGTTTCGAAAAAACATTTCAATTACAGAAATAACACGTTAAATCAGATACTGAAAAAAATGCTATCGTTTTGCTAAATAATCTTACATGTTTTAACAATAAATTAGATGTATGAAATTTATCAATCAATTAAAACGAAACCGTTTATTTGATTGTAAAAACAAGTAAAAGCAAACATTGTATACAATATTAAATCCATTATTCGTGGTCCGATTGACTAAATAATTTCTTTCAATTAATTAATCTTTATGTAAGGTATTAGCTGAAATGAAAAAGTTAGTGTCACGAGCGGGATTCGAACACACGTCCTTTGGCTAAATACGCTGCTGAACTACCACTTGAGCATCGTCCATCCACTCGGACACTAACTTCCCACCTCAATCCAACTTTTCGAATTTTCTCACGAAAAATGGCAAAAAGGAGGGAAAATTCGAAAGATTTTTCGAAAGATCGAAAGAAGCTCAAGTGGTAGAGCAGCGGCGTATTTAACCGACAGTCGTGGGTTCGAATCCCGCTCGTGACACTGACTTTTTTATCTCAACCAATACCTTACATAAAGACTAATTAATTATAACAGATAACATTTTCATAGGTTTTCGGGACATTTATCTATTTGTACAATGACAATTTTACAAAAATTTAAGATATTTGTGTGGTGATTAGTGACCGTTAATCGATAATTAGTCAGAAATCGTGAGATGCGGTCTGGTGTGATTTTAGAAAAACATTTTCTTTATCGTGCCAACGTTTCGATCTTTATTGAGAACATCTTCAGGGCCTGGGATTTACAAACATTGTTTACATTTAACAAATACATTTAGTATGTGGAAAAAAGTGAATTTATGCAATGCAAAATATATTTTTTTATATTCAATCAAAGAATTTCTACTCACTCAAAGTGTTTATCTTCTGTGTAATTGTGCCATTTTTGTGTGTCGTGTCGACACAATTACACAGAAGACAAACACTTTGAGTGAGTAGAAATTCTTTGATTGTATTTAAAAAATATATTTTGCATTGCATAAATTCACTTTTTTCCATATCCTAAATGTATTTGTTAAATTTAAACAATATTTTTAAATCTTAAGCCCTGAAGATGTTCTCAATAAAGATCGAAACGTTGGCACGATAAAGAAAATGTTTTTCTGAAACCTACATCACACCAGACCGCATCTCACGATTTCTGAATAATTAAATTCAAGATATTACTGAACCCAATTTTACTGTTGTATTGAGTTAACTAACAATACTTCAACAAAGAATAATGTTATAATAATAGGTTATTTTATTGAAAATGAAAGCAAAAACTTTGAAAAGTTAAACGTGAAAAATTGTAAATAGAGTTACGCAAATTTTTTTTATTATTTTCTATCGGTTATCTAAATTTACCGTACTTACCTTATGATTATTTTTAAAATTAAATAAATTTTGATAAAATTGTTTTTGCCCAATAAAATTGCTGAGAACGAATAAAAAAATGTTGACGTTTGTTTGTCATTGTCAGATTTACTTTTCTACATCTAATGTTTTAAACCTATTTTCAGACAGTTTTCACCATTTACATAAAATCCAATTGATTAAATGGATCCGCAAATGAAAATTTCTGTTAAATACTATTTTAAATACTTCATGACAAATTTCAAATTTTATCTTTTTTAAGAACAAAAAAATTCTAATTATCACAATATTCGAGAGTAGAGATTTTGCAAAAAATAAACAGTTACATTTTTTATTTGTGGTGAAGTTATTGAGAAAACGGGGACAATAGTAAGCCGACACTGTATATTAATTACACAAATTGCATGTAAAATATAAAATAATACTTTAAGAGCTAAAGATATAAATTTGAAGAGATGCCTGTTTACCCTTTGCTTTGTGACCTGTCGCGGGTTGCCTCAGGATGATCTCACCCCCATCCTCTCTCCTCCAGGTGATCTTGGGTGGTGGATAACCCCTCGCTTTGCAGACAAGCTTAGCAGAACCGCCTTCTGGTGTCATCATGTCACCTGACGTCTCTTCGTAAATTATGTCGGGCGGAATCACGACTTCCAGATAAGCGCTCTGTGGGGGGAAAATTTTGAAATCGATTAAGTATTATTGTAGAATCGAGAATGCAGTATTTAACATAATAGTTGATAGTGCTGTGTTGTTATTTACGTCGGGATATGCGTATTGACTTTAGGATCAATATCATAGATCAGAATGACGTGTCTGTGTTGAAGGGTGGATATAACCAACGCCGTTACGTTATGTGAAAGTATTAATAATCGGTCGTCTTTGATCTTGTTCCGTTTATTGTCGCTTTTTACTTCAGTCAGTTTTTGAGGAATTCGACAATTTCAGTGAATGTCCGCATGTTGTCTCCCGCACTCGTAATTTTGTTAAAAGTCTATATGGAAGAATTGTAGGTGGTCTATGTACAGTTTAATGTCATATTTTGAATGATATAATATGTGCAAGTGCAAGGTTTTAGTTAACGTGCTTTTTAATTTTCTTTTACTTTTGTGCCATTAGCCGAAAATGTAAAATAATAAAACATTGAAAATATTAAGAAAATCACAATTAATTTGTAATCATAATACAAATTAATTCATTTACGTATTTGGTCAATTGACCAAGTTACATCTTTCAATTAATTATTCTTTCAACGTAAGGTCTTGGTTGAGATAAAAAGTGAGTGTCACGAGCGGGATTCGAACCCACGACCTTCGGCTAAATACGCCGCTGCTCTACCACTTGAGCTATCGCGACTTGGATCCTCTCGGACAACTTTCTATCTCAACCAACAACCGTTCGAATTTTCCCTCTTTTTGCCATTTTCGAATCCGCTCGTGACACTCATTTTTTATCTCAACCAAGCCCTTATGTAGAAAGAATAATGCAAATGACGTACTTATTTTTTATATAAATATTATATTTCAAAATGTGACATAATTGAGATAAAACACATTTGCGCTTTTATATCCAAATTTGAGTATGCTGTTACTATAGCTTACGAAGCAAATATATTTGCCACGCAGAGGTGAAAACAAACAGCTTTAGCCCATGTTTGAGGCAGAAATGGCAACAAAATTATAATTCCACAGCTACATTCTTGAAATGCAAATTTTTTCTTACTGAATATTTTTCTGTTATTAATTTATTATGTATAATTTGTTACATTGATTACAATTTTTGTTAAAAAACTGGAATAACTTTTAAGTGTATAAAAACAATTATAAATGGATTAATACACTAATATATACTAAAATAGATCAAAAGACCGTTTGATTTTATCAGTTACGAGCAATTCGTACACTAATGAAAAATGTATTAAAATTTTAAACAACATTATAATTATTTGTATACATGAGCGATGTGGTGAGGGCGTGGGGTTGAAATCACCCAAGAGAAGATGTAGTCTGTCTTCTTTTATCATGTATTTATGAACAGATGACGCAAAAATTCGTAAGATTTTCTTTCATGTTTTTCTATTTTCAAAATTTCCTTTTCCCAGATCATCAGTTTGATTTTCGTTCCCACCATTCTACAGTAAACCGAATATCTCTTGTCTCCTGTCCCTAAATCCCTTGTCCGCAAAGAATATTTGTATGGGAGTTTTTCCTGTAGTGGCACAAGCGTTTGACCGTGTGTGTCAGAAGGGTCTCTTGTACCAATTAAAATGGGTCCTACAAAATACACTCTATTTAATCATCCTTTCTTATGTAACAGTTCTTTCGGGTCCGACTGGGATCAGATTACTCCGAATAGTGCTCTCTGGTCGCGGGAGTACCGCAAGGCAATGCAGTCTGACCAATCCTTTATACAATAGATGTACCCATTATCCACACCACCCTACTTGCATCATTTACCATCCAGCTGTATTATCTTGTGACCCTGATCCTGCAGTTGCTTCGGAACATCTGCAGAGGCATATCGCATGTACAACAAATAGGTTATTATTATCGTTTTATTGCTCTTGCGTATTGCGGAATCGACATTTAACGGCTTACTTGATAGGTAGTCAACTACAAACGGTCCGTAATCCAAGGGTGGTTTTTTGGGTATAAGTTCGCGTTTATCTCAAAAATTAGAGAATTCTTGCGCCAATCGACTCAGCAGGGTCGTTTCAATTGAAAAAATTTCGGATTTTTTTCGTTTATCTCAAAAATTATGAGGTTTACGATCTTTATCGCCAATCGACTCAGTAGGCTCGTTTCCATTGAAAAAAGTGCAAGTACATCGACAAAATTGCGGATTTTTTCTGTTTATCTCAAAAACTATGAGGTTTACGAGCATTATCGCCAACAGACTCGGTAGGCTCGTTTCCATTGAAAAAAGTGCAAGTACATCGACAAAATTTCGGATTTTTTCTGTTTATCTCAAAAACTATGAAGTTTACGCGCTTTATCGCCAACCGACTCGGTAGGCTCGTTTCCTTTGAAAAAAGTGCAAGTACATCGAGAAAATTGCGGATTTTTTCTGTTTATCTCAAAAACTATGAGATTTACGAGCTTCATCGCTAACCGACTCGGTAAGCTCGTTTCCATTCAATACAAGTTCCAGTACGACGAAAAATGTTTTTTGGATTTTTGTTTCTTTGCGATTATCTCAAAAACTAAAAAAGAAACAAGAAAACTAAAAACGTCTTCTCATAATATACGACAACAACGTTCCTATCCCCAAGTCCGACTGTGTTCATTACTTTGGGTTCCACCTACACGCTTAACGTGGAATCAACTTAAACCGCAGAAACAATAAGATCTCAACAGACGGTACGTTTATTCCACAAATCTATAGGACGAAAAACAATTTAACAATTTACAAAACGCTCCTACATCTGAGAGCTGTGGGGAACGGCGAAGCCTTCCAATATCCGCCGTCTCCAATTTTCAGTCCAAATTACTCAGATCGATTATTAATGCTGCGTATTATGTCTCCAATACTACCCTCCATAATGACCTTAAAATTCCATTTGGTCAAAAGTTAATTCTCAAAAAATTTAACTAGTTCTACAATAATCTCTCCCATGACTCCAATAGTCAGGTCTAAGACTTGTCAAACAGAACCCAACCCTACAATCTCTTAAGGCGTCTTAAGAGGAAACGGCCCCACGACCTCCTTTCTGAGAAGTAGGCAGTAAATTTTATCCAGTGAAGTGAAGTGGGAGTATTAATATAATATTAACTAATAAATAACTAATAAATATTAACTATGTTCTTTCCCAATGTAAACATGTAAATAATTGCAAATACATCAACGTATCATCAAATTAATTAAGGTTATTAGTTGAGATGAAAAAAAGCTAATGGCACGAGAGGGATTCGAACCCACGACCTTCGGCTAGATACGCCGCTGCTCTACCACCTGAGCTATCGTGACCTCGATCCACTCGTCACATTGAAAAATGGCAAAAGGAGGGAAAACTCATAAGGTGGGGTTGAGATGGGGAGTTGATGTCCGAGTGGATCGAGGTCACGATAGCTCAGGTGGTAGAGCAGCGGCGTATCTAGCCGAAGGTCGTGGGTTCGAATCCCTCTCGTGCCATTAGCTTTTTTTCATCTCAACTAATAACCTTAATTAATTGTAATGTTTAATTGGTCAAGCGGACCACGAAATTAGTGAATTTAGTATCATCAAATTACGTATTGTAAACAAAAAATGCAGTGTAATAAATAATTTAAAAAAGTTTTAAAATAAAATCTACAATTAGTTTTAATTTATAAACACAATTAGAGGAAAATAAGAAATAAACGGTTTCATCAATTAAAAGAAAAAACTTTTCAAATGGTTCTTGAACACATCAATAAATTAATTCAGCTAACTGTTGTAGCAATCTTAACGAAAAATAAATATAAATATTCAAGAGAATAATGAATCAAGAGAAAACAATGGACACTAATGGCCTCTCAGAAAGTCCTTCAGAATCAATCCAAGTATCGTTAACCGAACATCGTCATAAATATTCATTCCGTTGAAATTAAACCGCGGTCTTAAATCTCAGGAGCAATTGAAGAAGGCCGTTTCAATTTTAAATATATTTATAAACGTCGGCAACCAATCCGCAGTGATCATTTAGCACGGTTTCTCAATCGATTCTATAACCCGGCTCACCCAAAGGCTACTGTGTACCCGGTCGAAGAGAAGGGTTAAATGGATTATTCAGAAACTCCTCAAGAACACCCCTCTCAGGAACGTCTAGTCTGAAACAGCCCCATTCTCCTCCTCCTCCCAACTACCCTTCAACCAACTCTCTACTGCAAATTTCACTCCTCACTTGCATTAACTCCCTGACGCGGCCAAACATTCCCGACTCCGTGACAAAAGCCTAGTTAAGTTTCTCTTTGTGGCATTAATTTTACAACGTTGGGACCACCCCTTCTTCGTGGTTTTGTCAACAGTCGGCGTGATGTAATTTGCTGAAGTTCTTGTTTTAGATTTTATCGCTAATTTTTATTTAGTCATAAATCCGTTAAAACAAAATGTAAGAGTAAAGCAAAGAGATCAGGGATGAAGCTCTGCAGGTGAAAAAACCAACTTGTTTTTCTACTGTCGAGCTTTCGGCTGAATTTGACGCCTTCCTCAGGACTTTGAAAAACTATTAAAAAAAGCTGTACAGCTATACAATTGATCCGTACATCTGGTCCTAATAGAAGTTATCCGACCCCTCACATTAGGACCACATGTACAGACCAATTGTAAAATTTTTAAAAATAATTTTTTAGTCCTGAGGAGCGCGTCGTGTTGTGGTGTTTCTGGTCTGCAAGTTGGTGAACTGACGTTGAACTTAACAATACTGGGGGGGGGGGCGTCGGTGGAGGCAAGGTTTAGTCTTTGATACGGCGCTCATCACTGTAAGGTAAAGGTCCCGGGTTCGAATCTTGCGGCCCTGCATTCGAACACGACATACTTACAAATGGGCTTGTTTTTCAAAAACACCGGCCCAATGAGGGTTTATATGACCTCTGCTGTCGCGAACCCTCGTTAAAAAAACAACAAAAAAACTTCGTTTTGCATGACACTTGGCGGCTAACATACTAAAAGAAACAGCTGCACAACTTACTTCATAGTCAAACAAACAC